TAAACAATAACATCAGAAAGACAGAAACTAGGAGCGGATTGTGGGTGGGGGACATCACATGCACGTGGAGGACCAGATTGACTCTAAAACTAGCGTCACATGCGCGACAGATGCACCAGGGAACCTCATGCTTTGGGAAATCCCCAGGGGGGGGGGGGACGTTGGGTCGTATTTGACCTCTGAGCGAAATTTTCCTAGTAGCCAAAAATTCCACGGTTTTCGAATTTTCAGAGTGTCATCGTTTCATCTGTCAATTGTGTTACATAACTCCCTATCCCACGCTCGACGGCAGATCTTCGAGGGGAAAAACCGGAAAATTTTCAGAAGTTTCCAAGAAAAGAGGTAAGTGGTTGGGAGAACATAGGAGTATTGCACGTAGCATGGGGAAAGGGCTTGTATCAGAGGAAGCATTTCATCGTGGGACACGGCTGGTCGCCGTGCCGGTGGTTAACGACGTCGCAGCCGTTGCGTACGAGTTGTTTTGTCTCCTGGTTTGTTAAGACTGTAGAAAGATAACGGATGGAGGGTCCGCCAACGAAATGCTGGTCGAGGACTCCTTGAACGAACACAAATCCTTCGCTCTAGCGACAACCCATGAGAGCTGCATTGCATCATGAGAACTGCCGCGTCTTTTACTGCGCGCGACGTAAGCACTGTTCCTCCCAGGACCCAATCATCTTAACGCGTAGATGCATCAGCGTGCTAACCATAAGTCTACTAGCGGGAAAGGGGTGCGAGGGGGGGGGGGAGGGGGAGGACACTGTTTGCTTCTGCACGTCACTGCAACGTCTGATGTAACGTCCCACACCTTTGGATGAGCTCTACTACTGCAATAATAAGAAAATCTTATAGAAATATTAAACGCTCTCACTGTTGTTAATCTGAAGGTTCTCGGCTAATTTGCTTCTATCATCTTCTAGAACTTCTCCAAAGTACTGAACCAGTTTACGAGTAACTCTGAAATCGGTAACATAAGTGATGGGACGTTTGGGCAATCGAGCATATGGCAAAGCCAAAGGCACACAACTGAATATCAAGACTCCCTAGGACTGTTTCCAAATAGGAATGTTTTTCAACTTGGCAAAACGCTTCCACTACAGGGAAAAATGGTAGGTCCATTTAGGAATGATTAACCTTTTTAGTCACTTTCAGCCCGTTAATCTTTTTATCGTTACACATGCTAAGGCTGCGTCCATACTTTGCGTAAGCATTTGAGCGTACGGCGGTGTTTCCACTGACTGCCCTCGGGAAGTTCAAAACCACCCGTGAAACGCTCAAAATGCTGGCGTACGAACAAAACCTAGATTGATACCTACACTTTGCTACTCGCTCAAAACGCCGCCGTAGTGCTTGGACTAAGGTACGCTCAGGGACGCTTGCTTACGCGGCGAACACTGGCGTACCTCTAAATCGCTAACGCTAAGTATGAACGTAACCTAATCCAACCGCTGTCAGGATACAACTTATTTCAGGGTTGCAGCCGTTCAACGATAGACGGTGGAGGGCGCTTAATCGCTGTCGCGCGAATCGCGAAGTAAGTAAGCATAAGGTTACTTCTTGATGGCAGCTACACAATCTTTATCATCTCGCAAAGTACAGGATGCTCGAAAAGTTGATAAGCATCAAAACTTACGCTTCTGCGGTAGAGTCCAGTTTGCTGAGATCATCAGAAAGTCCAACGAGCTGATCGAGTGTTCCAACCTAAAATGTGGGTATCATAGCGATTACAATCAAAGCTTCACACGATCATAAAACTGTGACTGAGAAAGTAATGATCGGAATGACATGCGGTGGAAGTTCCCTTGAGAAAGGTAATAATCAATATATAAAGTGAAAGGAGGGAGCTCATTCAGATGGGGGAGGTAAGCATTGAAGAGATGCCACGCAGATTCCTAAAAATTGAGAAGAAACATATCAGGATTTTGAGCTTCTTACAGTAAACAAAGTCCGATCAGAAAGATTTATTCTAGATATTGAATGTACCAAAAGTCATATTCCTAATGCATAGTGGAACATGAACATACAAACAGGAAGGATACAGGGATTCTGTCAACCACGTGTTCTCTCGCTGCGAGGATTCATAGGTATTTTCTCATCAAATCTTCCGGCCGACCACTTGAAGGGAGCAAGATACGGAAGAGAGAAGATAGAAGAGAGGACCGAAAAGAAGAAAAAGGAGAAAAGATGAGTTAGAAGGTGCAGAAGGTTCGCGTCTGACAGTTATCCTGAGAACAAATAGAAAAACACACCAACGCCCAAATGGGAAGTGCATTCTGCTCCGTGGTGCTTCCGAATAGTTCATCTGCCTAACCAGTTTTCAGACCAACCATACGAGTCGAAAACGGATTTGGGCTCCTTAGGCACCGTTCAGACTTCGCGACGGCAGCGCCTCGGTCGCGCGTTCGACGCGATCGATGCGCATGCTTTCCACTGCATCGATCGCGTCGAACGCGCGACTGAAGCGCTGCCATCG